CAAACAGAGTAGCCATTGTCTGAAATATCACCGTGACAGAGGGAAAAGAAAGAGCATGGGGAAATCACATCAAAACAAAAAAACCCAAACTAGCCGTGATCAAGTCGATTCCGACTCATGGCAACCCCATGTGTGACAGAGTACAACTGCTCCATAGAGTTTTCTTGGCTGTAATCTTTATGGAAGCAGATCGCCAGGCCTTTCTTCCACAACACCTCTGGTTGGGTTCAAACCGCCAACCTTTTGGTTAGCACCCGAGAGCAAACCATTCCTGCCACCCAGGAGACTTTTTCTTTCTCCAAACAAGCATTTAAATGTGCAGACATAACAGGGCTTCCTTAAGAATAAACCAAAAACTTAAAGCGCCCTACTCCCTGACTCCTCAACTTTGTGATCTACAGCCAAAGGCATCAATGCAGGGAGACAGCCTTTGGCCATCTGTAAACACTTAGATGCATGGACATCCATGGCCAACTGCAAACCTGCCCTTGACCCCCTGGAGACACCCCAATGACCCATGAACAAGCAGGTAGAAGCCCATTTTTTGTTGACAGTAAACCTCAAGACAGGAATCAGGAAAACATCTGTTTATTCAAAAAAAAAAAAAAAAAACAGTTTAGAGCTCCTCCTTGCTGCTGTCCTCACCAGGGAATTGGGGGAAGGGTCTAGTTTTGAGGAGAGGAGTGTGGAGGGGGAGGGATAAAGAAGGAGGCAGAAGCTGTGGAGGGCCTTCTGGTCGAGAACTGTTTATCTCCTTCTCTCTGCACGGCCCCCCACTGCCTCTCACCAGAACAGTCAAGAGGGGCGATGTGTGTGCGTGTGTGTATGTGTGCAAATGTGCACACACATGTGTTTGTTGGGAAGTGAGGTGGGGGGAGACTCAGAAGCAAGGTCCCAGCTCTGGAAGCATGGAGGCAGAGCTAGCAGGACATGCCCATCTCCCTCCCCCACTGGAGACCTCTCTCCACTATGGCTTATTTGAGACAAGAGGGCAAGGCCCTAGGGTCAGGCAGCCTGTGGCAGAGTGAATGGGGGTGAGATACCCAGAATCTAGGCCAGGAGAGAGCAAGTTGAGGGGAGCATACAAAAGCTGAAAGGCCCAGTGCCCCCAAATTCTGGGGGCTAGAGAAAGCTGAGTGTGTCATGGGGGTGGTAAGCAGAGGGAAGGAGGGCTGGGGATGGGCAGGTGCTCAAGCCAGCTCCTTTCTGGGGAAGTCACGGACCACCTGAGCGGTGCTGGGCCTGGGGGGCCCTAGAAGGGATTAGGGGACCCCATCAGAGTAGCTATAAGCATGGGGTTGAAAAACTGACATCAAAGCCCAGGTAGATTTGGGGGTAATCCCTCAGTTCACTCAGTGTAGTGGGAACCAAGGGCCAGTTATCTGATCCAGGCTCCTGGCAAGAGGGGATGATCTGAGGTGTCAGTATTTGGGGGGAGATATAAGAGGGAAGAGGACGGCCCAGGGGAGGGAGAAGAGACCCCCCCCACCTCGCCCTGGGGGCTGGGGGAGGGGGGCATGTAGCCCTTTAAGAGTGGGGGAATGGCCGCCCCCACAACATGGCTATGTACATAGAGGATGGGGGCCAATTGTGCATGGGAGTTGGGGAATCCCCCAAGCCCCTGGAGGCTCCCTGGTGTGTTAGGGAGAGAGATGAAGAGAACAGTTTTCCACCATCTCTGGATGGTGCAGATACCCCCCGTAGATGGCTCTGGAAGTGACCATTACTCTCAGGATGTGCTTGCTTCAGAACCAGGCCAGCAGACATCAGTGAAGGTCCCAAGGAGGACATCTGTTGATAGCCCATCCCACATGAGTCAGGAATCTCTGAGGAGAGTTTGGCCCCAGCCAGTGGGTCCAGATGGCAGGAACCAGGCAACGGGCAGTGACACCATTGGAGGGATGGATAGCCTCACCTCTGGTGGTGATAAGAGTTCACTGTGTTGACCCTGTCACCTATCAGATGGTTGGGCAAGGGGCAGTGATGTTATTGGGTGGGGCCTGGATGCCCCCCACAAAGAGGATGATGGGAGGTTTGCCAAGGCCAAGTCTATTATGGGGCTTATCCAGGCATCGATCTAAGTCATATGTGAGGCAGTGACATCATCAAGAAGGGAGTAGGGATGATCTCATCAGAGGAGGAGCTAGCTGTTCTACCCTACTCCACTTTGGGGAGCTGGGAAAAATGGTGTGTTGTGCTGGTTCCCCTTAAGGGAACAACTGTAGGTACCATGTAACCCCTGAAAACAATTGAAACAGCTCTAGTAGTGGTTGGCCACTAAAGATGATGGATCCTGGAGGATGATGATACATGGTTGTGGGGGATCCTGGGAAGTGATGATGCCATTGACTCTCATGGATCCTGAGATATGATGACACCATGGTTGAACTGGATCCTGGGAGATGATGATCAATTGACTTTCAAGCAACCTTAGAGATGATGACATCATGGTTAAAATGGATCCTGGGAGGCAACGACACCATTAGCTCTCATGGATCCTTAGAGATGATAACACTGTGATTGAAGTGGATCCTGGGAGATGACAACACCATTGACTCTCATGGATCCTGCAAGATGATGAGACTATGGTTGAAGTGGATCCTGGGAGATGATGACATCATTGACTCATGGATCCTTGGAGATGATGACACCATGGTTGAAGTAGATTCTGGGAGATGATGACAACATTGGCTCTCATGGATCATTGGAGATGATGACACCATGGTTGAAATGGATCCTGAGAGGCACTGAAACCATTAACTCTCATGGAACCTTAGAGATGATAACATCATGGTTGAAGTGGATCCTGTGAGATAATGACCCATTGATTGTCATGGATCCTGAGGCATGATAACATCATGGTTGAAGTGGATCCTGGAAGATAATGACATCATTGGCTGTAATGGATCCTGGGAGTTGATGACACAATGGTTGAAGTGGATCCCGGGAGGTGATGACATAATCGACTCTCATGGATCCTGGAGATGATGGCACCATATTTGGAGTGGATCCTAGAGATGATGACACCATGGTTATATGGATCTTTCAAGATGATGACACCACAATTATGTGGATTATGGGAAATGGTGGCTTCATGGTCCTAGTGTATCCTGGTAGAAGAAGTCACCATTTGCCATAGTGGATTCTGGAAGTTAATGACATCATGATGGCACTATAGGTTATGGTGGATCATGGGAGATGATGATACAGTGGTTGTGGTGGATCCTGGGAGATTATGTCACTATGAGTCATAGAGGATCCTGGGAGATAACACCATGGTTGGGGGCATCATGGTGGCTGTGGGGAATCTTGGGAGATGCTGACAGTATTAGTCATGGTAAATCCTGCAAGAGGATAATACCATAGTTGTGGTGGATCCTGGGAGATGAAGATACCATTGGTCATAGGAAATCCTGGGAAAATGATGTCATCATCAACCATGGTTAGCATTTGACCCCAAGTGCAATATCATCATGAATAGTAATAGTAATAGTGCTCATGATGCCATCAGCAATATCAATAGCAGGTACCCCCTAAATGCCTCCAACAGGTGGCCAGGACTTTGTTGATAGAGGTGATGATGTCTCTAGATATGGCAGAAAGAAGTGATGCCAGCTTTTGGTCCACCGACAAATCCCAGTGCTAGACCTCAAGGAGCCTGATGGGCCAGAGTGGCCTCCTTGGAAGCATCAGCCAGTCTGGGAGTGCTGGCCTCTGGGAGTCACAGCAGGAAATGACATTACTGTGCAGGAGTGGGACCCAAGGCCTAACCTCCCTTTAGAGGGAGAAATTATCTCCACAGGGTCTTGAGGAGATCTTGTAGTGCATATCCCTGGGGTCAGGGGAAGGAGGGACCAAGTTAAGTAATGATGAAACAAGGCAGGAACTCTGGTGACACCATCACTAGTGATGACCTTCCAGAGTGGGCATTGTCTCTGGAGAGGAAGCTCTGACAATGACATTGAGGCAGAGCCTCGGTGGGAGGGGCATCACCACCAACAACCTACAGACAGATCATCATCTCTGGCAGAGGACCCTCCAAATGGGGCAGCCTCCTCTGTGATGATATCCCTCAGATGACATCTCAGAGTAGGGCACTGCCTGCAGTGACATTCCAGGGTAATCATGGACTCTGGGCATGCTCAGACTCCTCATGACATCACAGCAGCGAGAGCAGTGTCTCACAATGTCTTAACAGAATGGGTAGAGTCTGGTAGTAACATTGCAGAAGGGGACTCATCCTGGAGATGTCCCTGAAGCAGGTTGCCATCTCTGGTGATGATATCACAGTCCCTTGATGACATCATAGGACAAGGCACCTTCTCTGGTGATGACATCACAGGAAGGAGGCAGAGTCCCTGTGATGATGTCATGGAAAGGAGGCATCAACTCCAGTGAAGACTCAATAGGCAAAGCATTTTCCCCTGCGATTTGTCACTGGAAGATGGCTTTGTCTGTAGTGATGCCACCATAGGATAGAGGCATCTTCTCTGTTGTGAAGACACAGGAAGAAAAATGTTTTCCCTGTGATATTGATGATGCAAAAAAGAGGCCTTGTCGCTAGAGATGATGTCATAAGGGTGAGGCCCTCTGCAGTGACATCACAGGAAGGAATCTGTGTCTATGTCACAGAGGAAGGCATTGCTGCTGCCATGAAATCACAGGAAGGAAGTCTTTGTCATGACATCATAGAAGGCAGACATCTTCTCTAGTGATGACCTCAAGGCCGGCAGCTTCCTCTGTGATGACGTCATGGGAAGGAGGCGCAACCTCAAAAATGATGTAATAGGGGGAGGGATCTCCTCTGCCACGACATCCCCGCAGGGGGCTTAGTCTTGGGTGACAATTCCATCAAAAGCAATGTCCTCAGAGGCAGCTCCTCGGCCAAGGGCTGATGAGGGAGGGTCCCAGGCTCCTGAACGCGTGAGCCTGTGTTGGAGGGTCCTCGCTGGGCTGGGGGCCTGGGAGGCCACACACGCCCGGAGCCCCCGGCCCCGGCCTCAGACAGTCACCTCGTTCTTGCTGGCAGTGCGCAGGTGCTGGGGCAGGTGGTGGCCGGGGATGAACTGCAGCTGCTCCAGGGTGCCCTGGCGCTGGAAGGGTGGCCTGCGGGCCAGCGTGCCGCCGCCCCCGCCTGCATCCGCCATCCAGGCGGGTTGGGGCGAGCCGTGCAGACCGTGGTGGTGGTGAGCGTGCAGACCCGGCGGGGGCGGCAGCCCGTGCAGCGGCGTTGGTGGCCCCCCGGGGCCCAGCAGCAGGTTGGAGTGTGAGGCGGCCAGGCTGGCCCGGGCAGTGGGCTCCGGGGGCAGCGCAGGGCTGCGCGGCGGCGACAGCAGGTGCTCGCGGCTTTGGCGCAGGGCCTCGGGCGAGGACAGAAGCAAGTGCTCCTGTGATACTAGGCGCGCGCGGGGCAGCGTGAACTCGTAGCGTGAAGTGCGGCCCCCGTCGCCCAGCAGGTGTTCCTGGGACATGACCCGCCGTGGGTTGGGCGCCGGCGCCAGGCTCAGCTCCTCTGGGCCGCTCCAGGCGTCCATGCGGTAGCCGCCTCCGGTGCCGGGCCGCCGCAGCGCGTGCAGGGGCAGCGTCCCGCGGGGCATCTCCGCCAGGTGTTGGCGCTTCAGGTAAGCCTCGTCCAGGTCCTTCTCGGCTGGGGCGAGGGGGAAAAAGCCGCAGAGGTGGGTCCCCAGCCAGCGGACCCTTCCTCCTTCCTTGCTGTAGCCGCACCCCCCGTCCACCGCCAACGAGGACTTTTCCTCTCATCCCTCTCACTTCTGTGAAGACCCCAAGCATCACCCAGAACTCCCTGGTCATTAGCCTCGGCACACATGGGCGGTTCCCAAACTTTAATCAGAACAAATCTGGGCTTTGGTGGCCAAACAGACTCCCAGGCCCAGCCTGCAACGCAGGACCAGTAGATGGGGGCTTCCCAGAGCTGAGAGATGGAGAAACCTGGCAATAGTTTTTGAGCTCCTGGTTCCAGCCACACCTGAAGCTAGTCACTTGTGGACTTAATTTTATGGAGCCAAGATATTTTTCTTTTTCTTTTTTTCTTCTTCTTCTTCTGTTTTTTTTTTTTTTCTCTCTTGAATTGTATTTCTATTCATTGCAAATATAAGCCGTGATAAATAAGATAGGCCTGGGAGGAAGCAAGACTTTGCACTTTTAAACAAGCTCTCCCTAGGTAATTCAATACGAAGTTAAACCAAAACCAAACACAACAACAACAAAAAAACCTCGTTGCCATCGAGTCGATTCCGACTCACAACGACCCTATAGGACAGACTAGGACTGCCCCATAGCGTTTCCAAGGCTGTAATGTTTATGGAAGCAGATTGCCACATCTTTCTCCCACGGAGCGGCTGGTGGGGTCGCACCGCCGAGCTTTCGGTTAGCAGCGGAGCATTTAACCACTGCGCCACCAGGGCTCCTTGATTCGAAATTACCCTCAGGTAATTCTGGAATGGAGGCCTGGTGGCCCAGTGGTTTAGAGGTTGGCTGCTAACCAAAAGGTCAAGAGTTCAAATTCACCGGCAACTAGCTCCTTGGAAACTCTATGGGGTCGCTGTAAGTCGGAATCGACTCGACCGCAACGGTTTTCTGTAATTCTGGAACAAACTTGGAGAACAACCTGGGGAGGATCTAAACCATTAGCGGGCTGTTGGGGCACTGTCCAATGCCCTGACCCCGCCCCACACTGCCACCACTTTCTCATCCCCAGGACGTACCCAGCCTCTTGAGGGATGAGTAGCGGTTGAGTTCCGACTTCACCGCGGCCTCGTAGGAAGGGGGCAGATGAGAGAGGTTGTGGAAAGACCGGGAGCAGGATAGCGTGGAGTAGTGCAGGGAGGGGCTGGGCGGGGGCACTGCTCTCCAGTCTGGGGCAGAGGGGACCAGGCCAGGCTCAGTGCAGGGCCCCCTCCCTCAGACCCAGCATTTCAGTCTCCTGGCCCCTCCTCCCTCAGACCCAGGAGTCTAGGACCACCCTCCCCCACCACCTCTCCTCCCTCAGACCCAGGAGTCCAGGCCCCCAGCTCCTCCTCCCTCAAACCCAGGAGTCCGGACTCTCTAGCCCCCTCCTCCCTCACAGCCAGCAGTCCCAGTCCCCTGCCCCCTCTCCCTCAGATTCAGGGGTCCAGGCCCCCAGCCCCCTTGTCCCTCACAGCCAGCAGTTCAGATCACCAGCCTCTTGGGGAGTCAGAAATCTGGAAACACAACAGCTCAAAGCTGCAGCAATTCAGCTCCCTCTACGCACTCCTCACCCCTCAGGAGACCGGCTTAGGGAGGCAGGGGAAATGTCACAGAAACAGGGGCAACTGGCCTTCGTCTGGCACTCATTGTGTGCCCAGCCCACCTGGGGGTGTACCCTACACATCCTCCCACCAAGCTGGGTGGGAGGGAGATGACCATTTCTGGTGAGCGAATGAGGAACGGAGGCTCACTTGGTGACCTGGCTAGACTGTGAGCCCCATGAGGACAGGGTTGACACGGACATCAATCACCTGGCACCCAACAGGTACTCAATGAAAGGGTATGAAGGGATGAACCTACCCTTCCCCAAGCCTGGGCCCCCCTCCCAGGGCCCCGGTCCCTCCGTACCCAGCGTGGCGGCGTGGTGCTTGGGGCTGTTGACGTTGAGGTGCAGGTAGTTGTGGTGCAGGTTATCTGTGAGGCCAAGAAGGGAGGTGGCATCACTGCTATCGCCCACTTCCTACTGGTGCTGCTGTCCTAGGTTCAGCCCTACATCCAGGACCTCATCAGAACCCCAGAGAGCAACCTATGCTACTGGGCACACAGGGGAAACTGAGGCTAGAGGACTTGAAGGTGGAGAGTGTGGGCACAGGCTCATGGCCAGGGGAGGTGGGCTTGTCCACATCTTCACTACCCATGCAACGCCCAGGACAGAGGTCTAGGAGTCTCCTCGTTGCTTCCCTTCACTCTCCATCATGTCCTCTTGGGTCCCAGCTCCAGTCCCTCCTGCTTCCTGAATCTCTGCCCCAACCCATCCTCTGCATCCCTCTGACCTTGTCTTCTTGCTCCTGGATTATCAACCCAGCCTTCTGGCCGCCTAGCCAGTCCATCTCTGAGACCAGCCCCACAACTGCTCCTGTTTCTCAAAACCTTTCCGATGGTTCACCATCACCCATGGGACAAAGTCATGCATGGCTTTGGCATCTGTGGCTTGCATGACCCTGCCATAGCTGACATGGGCAGTCTCATCTCTCATCTCTCCCTTCAAGCCACACTTGTCCTGATCCCCAAATGAGCCGAGCCGAGTCCTGCAGCAGGGCTTTTGCATGTGCTATTATGCTGTTCTCTCCGCCTTGAACCTCTTCTTCCCCTCCTTTGCCTGAAGAACTCCTACTCATCCCTCAACATCCAGATCAAATGTAAATCACCATGGCTCCCGTGATGCCCACCCGGGTGGGCCACAGAAGGGCAGGGAGGAGGACTGACTCCTTATGGAGCCACCCACAATACTGCCACCAACCGGAAGGCGGATGTTGAATGGGGGGATGGTTCAGGGAAGGCAGAGGGGAAGGCTTGGGGGCGGGAACAGGGGTGTGGGACGGGGCCACTCACCAAGATTGGAGGGCTTCACGGTGTTGTAGAGGTTCTTGGGCGTCCTCGGCGCCATGCTATCGGGACCGCCGACGCCCGAGGTCAGGGAGCTGCTTCTGGCTCGGTCCGGGCGGGTCCCTGGCCCTGCCTGGTGCCTCAGAATGTCCACCAGAGCCCTAGAGGTGGCACAGGGACAGTCAGGGAACAAGGAAGGGGTGACCCAGGCCTCTTCCCCTCCCTGCTCCCACTTTTCTGGGAATCTGTCAGCCCAGCTCTGCTTCTCACCCCAGCCACGCCCTTTCTCACTTACCAAGCCCCATCCCCACTGGCCAGGCTCTCTCCAGGACCACGTCCACTTCTCAGGGCACACCCTTTCCCAAGTACCACGCCCCTTGCTCAAATGACCCGCCCCCTTTCCCACTGACCACGCCCTCCTTTTTGACCTCTCCCCTTTCATGTTGGTCCCACTTCTCTGGCATCAGCCTGTGCCTCAACTGCTCCAAGGTTCCTCTGGCCACACCTCCCGCTTGAAGACTTCTGCTCAGGTGTCTCCCCATTCTTTCGGACCCCACCCTTTCTGGAATCCTCCACATCCTCCTCCCTGGGGCCCCGCCCCTCCCTGAGCCTGGGAGGCCACTCCTGCCCCTTTTGCAGCCTTCACCATAGCAATAAAGGGTATCTCCTTCACCCAAGTATACAGACTTGAAACCTTAGAATCACCCTTGACACCTCTTCTTCCTCCACCCCACTCAGCAATCCTGTGGATTCTACCTCTGATGTATGTATCCCAGATCCGACCCGTCTCACCACCTCCACTGCTACCACCCCATCTCACCTGGTGCATCGCAACAGCCTCCTAACTGGGTCTGCCGCTCCCGCCCTGGCCGGAGGAATCTTTTAGAATTGTCCAGATGGCTGGACGCCCGTGCTCAGACCATCCAGGGGGGCCCCCCTCTCACACTTGAGATAAAGGCTGTTCCCTGCCTTCTTCTTCTCTCGTCCTCCTCCTCGCCCACCACACTCCAGCTACACCAGCTCCTTCCCTTTCCCGCAAACTCCCCACCTTCAGGCTTTACACGCGCTGTTCCCTCTGCCTGGAACGCCCTTCTCACAGACACCTGCTTGGCCCCGTCCTTCCTTCAGGTCTCTGCTCAGAGCGGCCTTTCCTGAGCACGACATCTAAAACAGCACCCTCCCCAACTTTCAACCCTCTATGAGGCTTCACAGCAATTATCGATATCTTGGTTTGTTTCTTGTCTTCACGCCAGCATTTGGTGACAACGGTAGCCAATATTTACTGACCGCTAACTATGCCAAAGGAGCCTTGGTGGCCCAGTGGTTAAGTGCTCAGCTACTAACCAAAAGATCAGTGGTTTGGAATCCACCAGCTGCACCGCGGAAGAAAGATGCGGCAGTCTGCTTCCATAAAGATTTACAGCCTTGGAAACCCTACGGGGGCAGTTCTACTCTGTCCTATAGGGTCACTATGAGTCGGAATCGACTCCACAGCGATGTTTTTTTCGGGTAAACCGTCTCAAGGAGCTCGACTGCTAATTTAAAGGTTTGGTGGCTCAAATCCACCCAGCGGCTCTGCGGGAGAAAGACCTGGCAATCTGCTTCCGTAAAGATTACAGCCTAGAAAACCCTATGGGGCAGTTTTACTCGGTCACATGGTGTCGCTATGAGTCGGAATCGACTGAATGGCACCCAACAACAACCATGTGCCAGGACTCCACCGGAATCAATTCAGTTGCTCTTCATTACAGTCTGAATGGGTGAGGATTGTTTCTATTTTACAGACAGGAAACTGAGGCACAGAGAGGTTAAGCAACGTGTTGGCAGGTAGCAGAGCTGGGATTGGAAACCAGGCTTATCCACTAGGGCAAGGCACTTGTTTGTTCACTGCTGTATCCCCAGCTCCTGGTCCACAGAAGGTGCTCAAAAATATTTGTTGAATCGCGGCCTGAGGCGCCCTGCCCACGTCCCTCAGTATTCACTCGTCTTTCAAGGTGGCCACCACCCCTTTTTCTGGCCACGCCCCTTGGCCCTGTAGCCCCTCCCTTCCATGCTGGCTTCACCCCCAGACCCCTTCCCCTCCCCTCCCGCCGAGCGCGCACTCACCTGGGCACGTTCATCTCGCGGTGCGCCCTAGGCGCACCTGACGCCTTGCTGAAGGCCACTTTGGCGCCGACACCCACGGCCAGGGCGAAGCTGATGACCCCGCACACCACGTAGGC